AAAATGTGTGTTTTGGTTATAAAATTCTTATATATTGGTTACATAGGGATTATATATGGTTATGGTTTATGATATGTATATGCAAAATGATGTAGGGAATCGTAACAATTAGAAACTCAAATTCGAATATTTGCTCATACGTGTTGTTTTGCATTTTAAGTGACGATATAATACTGCCCTCAGGTGAATCTCTTTAATAGATGATATGAACAATATGTTCGGCGAATGTTGTATTGACTGCAACAATAAYTTATGCCTAACTTAGTGTAGATTTCTTGTCAAATAAAAATAGTTTCCCAAAAGGTTCTGATTTCGACGCATCAATATATTCAGAGGTTGTTGAGTTGCCGTGGAAAGTCATCTGTGCAAAAGTTTGTGCAGATATCTCGTCGTTGTTGGTTTTTATTTGAACCAGAGTTCTTCAACATTTTGACGGACTGAATTTCGAATAATTTTTTCTTAAACATTTATTTCACAGGATTTTAATGGGTCAATTTAAGCCAGGCGAATGTTCCGACCACTCTTTAACTGTGATTTTCTTGTTCTGGAGCTAATTCAGAGTTGTTTTTGCCTTCACGGTTCCCAAYCAGGTTTTTCCYRGAGGTGCTAGGTAAAAGTTTTCTAGAATATCAATTTAATCCTTTCTAGAATATCAATTAATTCCTTTAATAGAATTGTCTGATGCGCTCACCAGCATCCACTCACATGGTAGAACCTGAATATTTCATTGGGGTTGGTCCATATACCATAAAGGAGCGGCTTCGCAAGGGTGAAGAAGTGAACAGGGAAGGGGGTATTGGCAATAATTCCAAAGCACACGCCAAGCCAAATTGCTCATGAATGGTTACAACTTTAAGAGATTTAAATATGTAATTAAACTCCCATGGGAAAAATTCAAGCTTTCTACAGTGGCTAATGTAAGCTGAAGAAGCGCTTCTGTAATATGGGGTTAGCTTCCTGTGCAATGTTCCGCTTCTGAGACATGGAGGTTAAAACTCCACAACACCTGCTAAATGACTGCAAAGCAGTCTGTAAGCGCAGGATAAAATACCTTCGATCCATGTTCGTAGCGTTAGATAACAAATCGCTTATATTGATCTCATGTGACTATGTAATCGACTTCCAAAGTTCAACAAGTAAATTTAAATAGGATACATAGGTGTGAAACACTGCATTTAGCTCTAAGCATAYTCAATATAAACAACTTTCCCTTTGGGAGAATAAAAACTGAAAATATTATTTTTAATGAGCACTCGYGCGATTCATTGTATATGCTTTATGGGGGCTTTAACTTATCGTTCTTAAAGAAAACTTAATAACCTCTCTTAACAGTATAGTAAGAAAAGAAAGTTTAACTTCTAAGTAAAAAAAAAAAAAATACCTCTTTTAGCTCTTTTTCACTTAGAAGCTAAAACTTTTATTTTCTTAGYAATTAACTAAGTCGAAACCATTATCTCAGCCTGGAAAGTTCCTATTTTGTATCAGCTTTATAGCTGACGCCAATAGCTTTATATAGAAATTTCGTGTCATGTTGTCTGTYCGCCATGTATTCCTAAACTACTGAACCGATTTTAGAACACTGTGTCCAGTTCGAACCAACTTAGAATATAGGATAATAAAARCAATCCATGAATTAAAAATAAAGTGAAAGCTCTATTAAAAATATTAAGTGAACATCTCCATTAACCATCCACATTGTCGATGTTTATTAAGTATAATCTATTAGGCGGACAACTCTATTAACTGGACAGAAAAGCTGGTAACCAGCCGCTGAGAAAGCAGCCTTAAATTCGTTATTTTTCCAATGAAACTTATTTCCTTGARCATATTTAAAATTAAACCTCAAATACAATCCCTTGGATTCCTATACCTAAAAATGTGTGACAAAAATTGTAATCTTATTGAAGCTTTCAGGAAGAAGTTGGCTTAATCTCATATGTAAGATTTATAATTGAGATACGACTTTATTGTGCACATGATAGTATATTTTTCATCCAAATTTTGGCTACGTATTTTCTTCTCCATTATCTTTTGTAATTTTCGGTTTTAAATTGTCTACWGTTATTGGTAGCCGAAATATTACTCATACGTCCTGGAGACCAACTGTTGCATTGAGGTGCTAAAGCGTTTYTGTAAGTTTAGGATTGCATATGCATAGAACAAGGATAGCAAAMACATACAAAATTATAAATATGAACTAGATATATTATTACCTTCTGGCAATATATTATATAACCCCACACCAACAGCTGACTATGACATAGCGCAATTTCAATGCACTTGACTTAAACACCAATGGGCGTAATTTCAAATTAGTGCAAATTCCAACTGTCGCCACAAGCTGCTGCTAAAGACAAAAGACAAATATCGCAGCAACATTTTGTTGTTGACAACACATTTATGGTATATGTGCCTATGCACATACATTATAGGCAAGTATGTATATTTGCAAATACGATTGCTGCACGTCTATTTACAGTAACTAAACGGGCACAACATGTTCTTGTTTATCTCCTTAAAATGAGTGTAAGAAATATCAGTTTACACGTACACACTTGCAGACTCAATAATTCAGCTGACACGTTAAGCTATGTGGCTCAAATCGATTGTCAGCACGACTAACTCCACTGCAGCATGGTGTCAAGCTAAAGAAGTACACAAGTGCTGTCAATAGGGCTGGGTATGTATTGCGTATGTACGTGAGCAGTGAGGAGTTAACTTTCTGTAATACGCAAGTGAACCATGTCCTTTAGTTAGTTAAGGATAGCATCGAATCATCCTTAAATATTCTTCAATGTTATTCTACTCAAGCGGCCACATTAATACTTATAAAACAAAAATTAATTCAACTACGAGCAACATGGTGACCTACGTTGACGCCTTATCTTAATTCCGACTGGAATGCTGCAGAAACAATGTCATTAKTTCAGACATTGCCAGGAATTTAGGCCAAACACGAAGTGGCATAAATGCAAAAAAGTTGAAATTAACTTAGAAATCATTCACTCACGAAGTAATGCACTCGCAGGCAAAAAACCAGTATCACTCGCGTAACAACAAAAGCAAAATCAAATTTTGTGCTTACACCAACAACATAAGCGCTGTAACGTAATCTCGCTAGCGCCCACGCCATCATTGACACGATTTGCTCACGCGGAATGCATAAATGAGGTTAAAAGTGGAAATATCAAAACTTCTTCTTCTATTACAAAACAAAGTGAAATAAGAAGATAATAGGATCAAACACAATATTCGCAARCGCTTGCCACATTCCCTACAGTAGCGTGAAATATGTAATAACAGACGCTGGGAAGCGTCAACAGACACATGTTCGTACTCATARCAACAGCAAAACATTGCGATATGGAGTAGTGGCAGCAGCATGACGCAGTGTTGACGACACCACTTGTGCCAGTTTTCATGCCGCATCAACACTTGCACTCACTACGGCGGTGGCATGCTGCAGTTGCAATCATAACGTTTGATTCCATTGCATATTTACGAGCGCCATATTAAATGATGCAGCAAGMATTTGTAAACTTCTGTGTTCTGRCGGTGAACATTCTTCGCATTCACACTCTCTTTTGAAATTTCGAACAACTTGTTGAAAGTAGCATCTAGTTTACAATGTTAGCATTAGATTAGGTAAATTCAGGTTGCAATGTTGATCCTCGTAGTAAAGGTAGCGATAGATGTCGCTATGACAGCAGTGCAAGTACGAGTTTTGTGATGCACAAAAACTCCTAGAAGTGGACCACCTTAATACAGCTTAATAAATGGGCGAAGTGTTGTTAAAACGGTTACCTCGCTGTGTCTACCGAGATATTTACAAATGAAAATGACTCTGTGATTCCACCTTTTTTACCTCTAATCCACTTTGGAAAAAGCGTCTGACTAAATATTTAGGTGCATCGCATTTTACCCTACTGGGCAGTGTTCTTGCTAAGAACAAGTAGTTCAGAGGACCTCTTCGGTTCTCTCTCGGTCAGAGCGATGAAATTTCGGGTTCTTGAACAGCGCTTCTCGAACTCACTGAATGTCTATAGATCCATCATTGTTCTAGCTGAGTGTGTATATAGTCCTTTATGAGGTTGTGATAGTATGATGTTATAATAATGATTGGAATAAATCTAGTTTTGTGTTTAAGTTCCATTATGTACTTGAAATACAAATTTAAAAAAAAATTTTTTTAAATATTCTGTCTAATATATATAAACAGAATATACGGTACAATACGTCAGGCGTCGAGAAGAAGCATCGAACATACATATTAGTTGTTTAAGGAGCCTAAATTYGTAACAATTTTCAAACAAGGATGAAAAGAAATTTAAAAAATTKTATTATCCATTTTTCTTATAATTTACATTGATATTTAAGAAATATTAAAATATACAAAACATTAAAAATTGTCGAATTACAGGCTGGTTGACATGATTTGAACACTTTTCCTTGTTCTTCTTTACTGGCGTAGAAACCGCTTTCGCTGTTACGGCCGAGTTAACAACAGCGCGCCAATTGTTTCTTTTATTTAGCAATATTCCAATACGCCAATTCAAGATACCAAGCGAAGCCGGGTCCTTCTCCACATGATCTTTCTAACGGAGTGGAGGTCTTCCGCTTCCTCTACTTCCTTCGGCGGGTGTTGTGTCGAATACTTTCAGAGCTGGAGAGCTTTCATYCAGCCAGCGCAGCCGCTACCTTTTAATTCTCTGGACTATGTCAATTCATTTGCCGTGGTCAATGCACAAATGATTATAAATCCTCCGCCGAACTTTTCTCTCGAAAACACGTAATGTCGACTCGCCTCTGCACCATATATTAGGACGGAGGTAATGAGTGACTTAAAAAAACTGGTTTTTGTTCGAGGACTTTACTTSTCAATTGYCTAYTCAGTCCGTGGTAGCACCTGTTGGCAAGAGGCTGTTCTTGGTCTAAGACGGGAAGTGGTGTGATGCTTGAGATGTATGTAAATAATCGTTTCTTCCGAAGTGAATGGTGATCAGAGTAGGTACTTTCGACAGTTGCGTGAACTTCTACACATGATTCCACCTTTCTCAACACTTTTCAACACAAACAAATTGAAAGAATTCTTAAACATAAAAATGCGGCTATCGGATTGGCCTTYGTCAATGAAAAAGATTTAAAAAATAGCTTGGGCTTGAAAAAACTTTACTCTTCGAATTTGAACGTGCCATCTTAATTTGAAAAGAAAAAATGTTAACTTCGGCTCCACCGAAGCTTATATACCATTCACAAGTGCATTTCTTTTTGTAACTATGTGTTCAATTTGTATGGTTACTATGCTATAGAARTCCGATCTGAACAATTTTTTCGGAGATTATATTTCTATCTTAGAAAATAATCTATACCAAATRTCGTGAATATAYCTTGTCAAATGCAAAAGTTTTCCATAACAGCATTTTAYTCCGATCATTCAGTTTWTATGGCAGYTATATGCTATAGTTAGCCGATATGTACAATTTCTTTCGATATTACATTATTTCTATGAACAATAACTCATACAAAATGTGAAAGTTTTCCATACAAGAACTTGATTCCGATTGTTAAGTTTGTGAGGCAGCTATATGTTATAGTGGTTCGATATCGGCAGTTCCGACAAATAAGCAGCTTCTTGAAGAGCAAATGACGTTTGCAAAATTTCAAAACGATATCTTAAAAACTGAGGGACTAGTTCGTACATATACAGACGGACAGGCAGACAGACGGACATGTCTAAATYGAATCAGCTCAACATACTGATCATTTATACATATAATATATACACTTTATAGGGTCTCCGACGCTTCCTTCTGGGTGTTAAAAACTTCGTGACAAACTTAATATACTCTGTTCAGGGTATAAAAAAACATACAATTATTTGCCCAAGAACAAAGTTTTGAATTTTCAAAATTCGAATAGAAAATTAATATGTTTAGGTTTTGAAACTTCTTTATGTACATAAAATAGTACAATATTTAACAAGCAATAATAAAAAGCCAAAAGTCATCTTGTGGCGAACTCCACTAAGCATTTCGGCGGGAAAGACTTTAGGTGATAAAAATCATTCCTTTTTTCTGACACCGAAACAGATAAGAAGACCTTACATTGACTGCMACTGCCACTGAGCGTGAAATTCCAGCACAGCTCTTCTTTCGCCACCAAATCGGAAGCAAGCAYTGCCAAACGAAGCGTGACGACTCAAGTTGCAGTCGRCAGCCAAATATTATATAAACTTKCATATGCGCAGACATAAACTGTTTATAAAGCGTATGCATTCAACATAATAAATTGAAAATACCCAGTAGAGAACTGCATCGGACCACCAAGCAGTGCTAGTTACGAGAATTTGAAAACATTTTTATGTAATCAAAGTGGGTGCATCGTACAAAAACAGTAAACGTTGGTCTGCAACCAGCATTTGAGAGAAGCCTTCTGGGCCMGAGTGGAATGCAAAAGCTCCATGGGGTTATCATCTCTCAACAAGTTTCACACGGTCGCCATGGTCGGTGTCCTAACTGGATACTGTCTTATTGGATAGTATGTGATGAGGCTAATGATTTTAGGTCGAAGTTGCAAAGAAGAACTTAAAGTGGAAGTATGTAAATACTTTCTCCTTAATTGCATCCCTTTTGATAGGCTAAAGTTCAAGCACCTTGATTGACATCATTTCTACGAACACGGCGAGAAATATTCAAGTCCTCACGAAAACCAGACTATTTGCCTAATCCAACTAAGCTAAAATTCGGTGCATAACATTCAGAGTCGGTATTTGGGAGTATAAGTACCATTTACCAAGTGAAAACTTCAGTAGGAACTGAAAGTGTGCCCATTAAGTTTTTCGCAAGTTCAAAACTTCCATTAATGTTTTAATTCCGAATCGATACATTTTTGCTTCAATCTCTTAAAGTGTTGCCGGCAGGGTCATTACAAGTGCACTAACACCGTGATAATTCAATCTTTTTTTGAATGTGCGCACTTCCGCTTTCGCGACTTCGATTTTCCATGCGCTCCTACTGCGGGTAAACAGGATAATTACGACAATGTTAAATGCAGCGATAAGAATGGGTTCAAAATGCAACATTGAAGTTGACGTCAGCGGCGCAGTCATGTACTCGTCTTACAATATTTCTTTTCTTTTGGGAGGGTTGGGTGTGTGTGGAGTTAAAGTATATTTGGTTAAAAGCAAACACAAAGTGAACGCTTTGATTTCAACTGAGTTTACTTTGCGAAACTATCTTCTTCTCGTAGGTATTGAACTCTTGCAGAAGAAAATGCAGTCAAGCTTATGTCATTTGTGCGCTTTTTYGCTTCTTTAAGTGATAAGTTCTAAACAAAGTGAATTTCTATTTCCAGATCAGTTACCAGCAATCGCTTGCGTTGGATAAATGAAACGGATTTGCCGAGAAATTTACAAACGGTTGATTTTCGTGCGAATCCGCTTTCCATAATCATGCCGAAAGCTCTGCGCGGCATGACGAGATTGCGAAAATTGTGAGTAACAACAACAGAACGTTTATAACAAATTTACAAATGCATTAGTGTAAGTATGCACGGCTTAATTTACTGTTATTTTTGTATAATTGTGTTAGAATTCTATCCGATGTGCGTTCACTCAAGGTTTTCCCCGATCTCGACGGCTGCTTCTCATTGGAGGTTATAAAATTAGATCGCGCCGGTATCAAAGAAGTGCCCGCCAATTTGTGTCGTCAAACACCAAGACTGAAAAGCTTGTAAGTTCCTTAAGCCGATGAATTCAAAAGTTTTTACTAATGATCTAGCTTACTAAATTGTTTTAAACTTTTTTGATTTCCTTTCAGAGAGCTAAAAACGAATTCCTTAGTGCGCATTCCCACTTTAGCCAATTGCAGAGAATTAAGACTGTTGTAAGTACTAAAATCTTGTCTTCCTTAAATATTAATTTTAAGCTACCCCTTTCTTTTCAGAGATCTTTCGAGTAATTACATTGAGTCTCTTAGTGGGCGACCCTTCGCCGGCCTTAAACAACTCCACGATTTGCTGCTCTCATATAATCGCATAAAAGCGATACCTTACGATGCCTTCTTCGGCATACCACGTTTACAGTTGTTGTATGTATACACAATTTCGAAGTATTTTGCTCTAGTTTCACCATTTTTATAGCATATTGTTTCTAGATAATTCTGTAATTTTTTTTTTTTTTTCATTTCATACAATTTAATCAGTTTCGTTTTTATTTTGTTCCGCGCGTCATTACTCTCACTCTCTCTTTCACACCATTTCGCATCACTTAACTCATTTTTGCCGCTTTCTCAACATCCACGCTCATTCATTTCACACTGCTTTACTCGGTTTCTGTCTTACCTTTTCTAACTGCCTTTCTTTTTATTAGAGACTTAGAAGGTAATGAGATCACCGCCATACACAAAGAAGCCTTTATGCCTTTCGCCAAGTTGGAGGACCTAAATTTGGGCAATAATATTTTTCCCGAGCTGCCGTCRGCTGGCCTAGGCAAACTGCTGCATTTAAAGACTTTCAACAATCCGAAGCTGCGTGAGTTCCCTGCGCCAGACACGTTTCCACGCATTCAAACGCTTATACTTTCGTACGCCTACCATTGCTGCCCTTTCATACCGTTAGTGGCGATGTCGGCGGCCAAGAAGCCCCCACTTGTACAAGAAGCTGTGCTCTTTCCATCCGATTCGGAGTTTGACATGAGCTTGTGGAACAATAGTATGATGGATATATGGCCGCAGCTACGTCAGTGATATTTACACGCGTCTAACATTTTCCTATTATAAAACATTTTCTCTTTTACAGAGAATCTCAGCAAAAAGTTTGGCAATCAAATGCACGACATTTGGGATAATTTCGGTCAGGACTTTAATTATCCCGGAAATATACCAACTTATGTCGAGGAATACTTCGAGGAAGACGGCACAGGCACGACGACGAGCTCAATGAGCATGAGCAGCAGTTTCGCCGGCTTCAGCAATGGTCTCTTCGGCACGATGGACATTGACATAGCACCAGGCTCCATACAATGTCTACCAATGCCCGGWCCGTTTTTGCCCTGCTCCGATCTCTTCGACTGGTGGACTTTGCGTTGTGGCATTTGGGTTGTTTATCTGCTGGCATTGCTAGGTAACGGTACTGTTATTATAGTGCTGTTATTCTCACGTTCGAAGATGGATGTGCCACGCTTTCTGGTGTGCAACTTGGCTGCCGCAGATTTCTTAATGGGCATTTATCTCGGCACTTTGGCCATTGTAGACGCTGCCACATTGGGTGAGTTTCGCAAGTTTGCCATTCCCTGGCAGATGTCGCGAACGTGTCAGTTTTCTGGTTTCATGGCAGTGCTGTCGTCAGAGTTGTCGGTTTACACGCTAGCGGTGATTACCCTAGAGCGTAATTATGCGATAACCCACGCGATACATCTCAATAAGCGCCTATCGCTGCATCAGGCCTCATATATCATGGCTGCGGGTTGGACTTTTGCGCTAATCATGGCTACATTGCCGTTGTTGGGCGTCTCCGACTATCGAAAGTTTGCTGTGTGTCTGCCGTTCGAGACCACAACCGGCGTGGCTAGTTTGACGTATGTCATTGCGTTGATGTTTATTAACGGTTGCGCCTTCCTGACACTTATGGGCTGCTATTTGAAAATGTACTGGGCCATACGTGGCTCACAGGCCTGGAATAGCAATGACTCACGCATAGCAAAACGAATGGCTTTACTTGTCTTTACCGATTTTCTTTGTTGGTCGCCCATAGCTTTCTTTTCTATCACTGCCATATTTGGTCTGCAACTAATCACATTGGAGCAAGCCAAGATCTTCACCGTATTCGTACTGCCATTAAATTCGTGCTGCAACCCTTTTCTCTATGCCATCATGACGAAGCAATTCAAGAAGGACTGCATAACGCTGTGCAAACACTTTGAGGAGACGCGTGTTACGCGCGGTGCAGTTGCCGCCAACACAGCACTAGCCGGTGGACTGAGCCGGCGAGGCGGTGTGCGCATGCCGAAAGAACTGCCGCCYTTGCTGCCCGCCACACATCCGCCCGGTTGCCGTTGCTTGCGCATGATGCCCAATGAAATGCCGAATTGGCATAAATTACAAGAGCGCGATCAACGGCGTGACTCGTGGATTTGCTTAACGTGGCATCGCTTAGCAATCTGCTGCCATTGCACCGATCCAGACGACGACGATGACGTATTGACACCAGAGCGACGCCGTCTCGACGGACGCCGGACACGTAAAGCGAACAAATCGAATCATCGKCATGCGCGTACACGTTCGCACAATGCCAATACCGAACCGTACCTTTATCAGTTCGCTGAGCTAAAGCAGAAACAGAAGCAGACACGCGCCAGCTCAATATCTAGTGAGAATTTCTGTTCGTCACGTTCATCTAGTTGGCGCAATGGCCCACCATCGGCGGGCGCGCTGCCGCACACTTGTAACATACCACTCAAGATGAT